ATTTAGTTTTAGCAAACCCCTTTACGTATATGTAAATAACTGCTTCTTAAATTGTAAATTTAATTTTCAAAATAATAAACATCACATCTTGGAGTTCGGCTCCAGCTCCATTGGTTAAAAAAAAAAAATCAATGAAGAACATACAGCAATGGTTTTGATTCAGATTGATAAATGACCGACAAGTTATTCTCCAAGAAATAATCCATATGAATTTCAATTACATCTTTGAGGAATTGAAGATGGATTCGCTCCAAGTAAATTTTGGGATATTTGTGATAGATATTCTTGTATAATTGTGATCACTAAAGTAGAAGGGACCAATGAAATTATTGGTGGATTTAATCCATAGCTTGGGATAAAGCAAGCGAGGAGTCAATATAGGCAAATAAGAGTTTTTATTTTCATTTAAAGATGTTAATATCAAAAATTCAATTCTTATCAGAGTCATACATGAAAATTATGCTTTACAGTATCCTTATTATAAAGATGAATATGGTCCAATCTTTGGATATTTTGAATTCATGATGAAGTCAGATATATATCTGATTTTACTTAAGATAAGAAAGCTCAGTGTTGTAGTTCTATTTTTATGAAAAATCTATTAGAACATCTAATGATTTTTTTTCCATGATAGATTTTGAAGTATTTGATGTTTTTTCAAAATCTATTTAAAGTATTCTTACATAATTCATATAATTGTTTTTTCATTGAATTGTTGCATTTATCTAGAGATTAAGATTTCTGGTTTTTTGTACCTTATCCATAGTAATTTATTGAATCATAACCCAAGGATTGAAAATTAAATATTTAATATGTAATATATATAATATTTCAAATATCATTAATATTCTAGCATTCTGCATTTATTATAAGTTTATAATATTCAATCATTAAATTATTAAAAATTCTGTTACATAGATTAGTAATAAGTCTTATATATTTTTAGATTTATAGAAGGAAGTGTTTTCATCTATTTTTAGGATTGATTTTTTAATACTGTATGCTAGTTAAATGTTGATAGTGGTTGATAGCAATAGTGATTATTATGAGTCAAAAATTCTTGTGTTAAAATGATATTGTGGCAAAGTAATTTCTGATGGTAACACTAAGATGATTGTACATGGATAATAACTTGTGTTGTCATCCAAAAAATAATGTATGAAGATGAAGGATGAAGTAAAAGGATGAAGGATGAAGTATACTCACCTGCCAAAAGTATCTGACCACCTGAAAATTTTTAAAAAAAATTTCTAAAATTAAAATGCTTATTGTGCCCCAATGGGTTATTTAAATTGCACAAACTTTTTTTTATTAGATTTTCCTAAACTAGAGCTATCATATGATATATTTTGTGTTAAAATTGAATGTCTATACTATACATGTTTCCAAAACAAATTTTTGATTTTTGAGGTATTTTGTCTTTTTGAGATTTACTCAGAATCTATTCTATATATGAAATAAAAAAAAAATACCTAGTTAAGTATATCTTTAATCAAAGAATTTATCTGGGTAGTCAAAAAATTTGGGGTTTTAAGTAAAATATTTTGTACTTCTATGAAAAACTATTTTGACTTTTTTCCCCAAAATTGCAATTTCGAGGCCCCAAAATAATTTTGCATGCAAGTATAGTCTACACATAGAGAAATTACACTTCAAATGAACATGACATAAAATAATAAATTTAATCTTTGATCATTAATATTCATCAAATGTAGTACAGGTAAAGATAGATGCCAATTATTTTATATAAAATTGTAGCAGAAATAATATGCACAACTTTAATTAGAAACACTTTTCATGATATCTAGTAAAAATTTTGACATTACTCAGATGTAAATAAAAATGGTCAAAATTTAATAAAAATAAAGATTAAAATAAAAAATTATTTTCGATCATTCATATACCTGTAAAATTGAGAATTGAGTGAATAATAGATAATTAAATTTCATGGAATAGTTTTAAGATGTCTCATTAATATTAAGTTTATTTCTCAATTTAAAAATCTGAAATATTCACAGTATATGCTCCATATACTTGTCTTTAAATCTCACATTTTATTATATTGATAGATAAAGAAGTTTAATATGTGGAAACGATTGGTAATTTTTTTCATATTTTTTTTTTTTTGATTTTTTAAAAATGGTTGACATGGATTTTACTGCATAAAATTTTTGGCATAGTAAAAATTAAAAAAAAAATAATTATCAATCATTTCACATATTAAACTTCTTTACTTAGTATCTCATATTTTATTATATTAATAGATAAAGTTAAAGACTAGTATATGGAACATCTACTGTGAAAGTTTCAGATTTTTAAATTGAGAATTAAACTTAATACTAATGAGACGTTTTAAAACTATTCTCTAAAATTTAATTATCTATTATTCACTCAATTCTCAATATATAGGACTGAAAGTTTTACAAATGATGTCCTATATATCAGGCTTTAAGGTTACTTATTATTACATTTATTGTTTTATTAATAAATAATAAAGTTACAGGTGTACGAATGATTGATAATTATTTTTTATTTTAATCTTTATTTTTACTAAATTTTGACCATTTTTATTCATATCTAAGTAATGTCAAAATTTTTATTCTTTTGTCAATTTCATTTGAAATGTAAATTTCTCTATGTGTAGACGTTCAATTTTAACACAAAATATATCATATGATAGTCTAGTTTAGAGAAATCTAATAAAAATAAAGTTTGTACAATTTAAATAACCATTGGGGCACAATTAGCATTTAATTTTAGTAATTTTTTAAAAATTTTCAGGTGGTCGGATACTTTTGGCAGGGGAGTGTACAGTATATACGAATTCTGTTTATTTACATTGTAAAAAAAAATTAAAGATTCGTATAAGTAAAAATAATAAAAATAAAATGAAATACAGGATCATTATTAATTATTGATTTAATAAACTCATTTCAGTTAAACTCAGCACAAAATGCAAAATTAAAAACGGATACCCACTAATGCGATTCATATGTAAATAAGATAAAAACAATAATAAAAATAGTAAAAAGAAAAGAAGAAAAAATAAATAACAAAAAAATCCCCGTGCTGAAGGCACGAGCCCTACGCCGGTAATTGGTGAATCATAAAAAAATTTCAATAAATATCTCTCTTTACTCTTGTATTTAATATTGTCAAAAATCTTTCTTTAATCCAAGTTAACAGTTATTTTTTATTACTTAGTTTATGTTTTATTCAAATATATGAATTATTGCACTTGACTTATGATCATTTTATCTAATAAAGCAGTGGCTCATAAATAAGTTTCATTTATTCTATATCGATTTTTCTGTATTTCGAAAAGTTTTACGCCAATCGTTATTGTTGTTTTCCATGCCACCTTATTTGACATTAATTTGGTAATTTAAAATATGTCGGAGACATAAAGTTAGAAATAATACTGATTATTAGTTATCAACTATATTATCATTTTGTATAAAAAACTTTTTAATATCTTTAATATCTAATTTTTTCTTTTTGGTTGTGGTGCTTATTTTAATATTTAATAATTTTATTATAACTTTTAAAAATATCAAAAAGATAAAAATTTATTGAATCATCATTTAAATGTTATGAAACTAGACTTTAATAATCAACTTGTTAAAATATATATTCAGTAACGCGAAGTTTATATTCACGTACTCCCTGAACAAATAATGTATAATATGAACTAAAATAGAAACTGTGTTATATTCCCATAAATAATACTATTGTATTTTATTATAGGTCTGGAAAGCTTATTTAATAAACAAGAATTCGATCTGAGTATTAATAAATAAGATCATAATCTCATAATTACAACGTAGAAAATTTTTATAATTAGTATTGTGAAGTAATTAATAGTTATAATGCTTTATAAAAAACTTTGAAATCAGAAGTCTATAGTAGATTACAAAAATTTTTGATTGAACTATCTAATGAAAATAGTAAGTGATATAATTACTGTGCAAATTATCTTTTTAGAATTTCGAAAATCATTATTTCCAAAACTCACTTTCCTTTTCATTATATTAACTACTATATGTCAAAATCTTACAATTCAAAGTGATAATTTGAGCAATATTAGGAAAAAGTTAATTTCTTTCGAAATCAGCAAACAGAGATCAAAATAAAAAGGAGAATTAAAGAAACTATATTAACATTTAAGAATAAAGTATATTAAATTTTATTTTATAATTGTTAAATAATAGAAACGAGAAGCATAAGATAATATGAAAATGAAAGACTTTCTTCAAAAGAAAGAAGTTCTTATAGTATTTATTTAATTAATCATACACTATTATATTGTCATAGAACACTAACACTAAAGTTACATATTAATAAATATTGAATTTATAAGTTTTTATAATAGTTAATTTACACTTTAACATTTAGAAGTGTTTAGAGAAGAATAAGATCGAGAATTTGGAGTTTTAATTAACTTCAATTAAAACAATAAAAATATTGTTATTTAACTATCAAGATAGTGTTCAAATTAATAATTATTGAAATTGATAAATTAAAATAGGTAAGATATATTGATATACAATAACAAACTAAAAGATTTAGCTGATAAAATACCTTAAACCGAATTCTTGTCTATTCTAATAAATTACGAGAGCAACTACGAAGCAATGAACTATGAAGCAACGAAAAAATGTTTAGTCATTATGCTGACAACTATTATTTTTAATTAACTATTTTAATAAACTTGATGCTAAATTAGATTTAATTAATTAATTTAATTTTAATGATAAAATCAATGGTATTTTAAAAAAATTAAAAATCAAACTATAAAAATAATAAATCATATTAAACTATATCAAAGCTTATCAACTTAATAATTTTTTTCATTTATAAAATTATTATCGAAAAATTGCATAAATACATATACCATTGATTTTTAGTACAATGAAACACATAACTCAAAATGTAAATACTATAACTAAATATATTTTCTTATTTGGTGTTATTTTTAAACTACTGTATTATTTGGATACTTATTTTATATTAAATTGAACCCCATATTCTTCAATAACTTTAAAATGTTCATTACTTAATGTAAATAGTTGTTCTTGACGATTTACAATCATCTTTTTATTTCTTCCTCCTTCTTTACTACACCAACCTTTAAAAAATTTTCTTAAACTGTCAGCATTAAATATCCCCATTCTAATTTCAATAATTTCAAGTGATTCTGGTACACTTTCAACCATTTTACGTAATAATTCATTAGCATCCAATCCTATCCCACAATGAAATGAAAATCTTTTTAATTCATTAAAATTATTATTAAATATTGCTATTACTTGTTCAAGACTTAAATCTAGTAAAGTTAATTCGGTAATCTTAGTACAATAAATTAAAATTGCTGAAAATGTATCAGATGGAATTGTGAGACAATCTAGATAAATATTTTTTAAATTTGTATTGGCCGTTTCGAGAATTTTTATAATAAATTTTTGAGGAAGCTTATTACACTGATAAAAAAAATGAAAACTACTTAATTGAGTAAATGATGAAGCCAAGGATAGACATTCCGAGCTATACAATTCATGACAATTTTCAATATAAAGTTCTTGAAGTGAAGTAAATTGTCCAATTGGTAATTTACCCTTGAAATTATAGAAACTTACTGATTTTAAACGAAGACTCTTTAATATTTCTTTTTGACTAATGATATTCCATAATAATAAATTAAAATTTAAATAACTAACGCCAATAATTGATAAATTTTCTAGTCGTTTTTGAACACAAATAAGTTTTCCTAAAACTTCCATTTGAGAATCTGACCTAAATTCTAAATCCATATTTAAAATATTATTACAAATTAATGCTAATGATTCATATAATAGGCTGATTGGTTCATCATTTATCGTTTCTAAAACAAACGTTCGAAATTTCTTAAATACTTTTGCGGCACCAGGTAACGTGAAAATTGAACAAATTAAATCACTATTTAGAAAATTTTCAAAAAAAATTTTGGGAACTTTCGTCATTTTAAAAGAATCCAAAAACGTACAACGATTTATTATTAATTTACATATCTCGAGAAATAATATTCTTGATTTGGCAATTATGATGTGTTTGTTATTATTATTATCATAGTTATCTTGATATGAACCAATAATTTTTTGTGAATATATGGAAATAAAATGAGCTAAATTATCAATTCTAAATTCACGAGTGAATGATGGATAATTAAAAGTAACTTGAGGTGGTGATGATGATAAATCAAATCCACTTTGAGTAAGTAAAGTTCTAGATTGATTATCCATACATGATATATAAGTTCGAACACACAATGCTCTCCTCCTACACTTATTATAATTCATCCAATTAAATTCTTGATCAAAAGCTAATTCCCAAAGTATAGGTATAGTAATTTTACACCAGGTTCTATTAACTAATAATGATGAATATAAATCATGAATTGATTTAACATTATTTAATATCATAACCAATAATTCTTGTGAAATTTTAGTTGCCATTTTTTTTTTATTTTTGCTTAAGAAATGAAGAGAAAATTTTCAAAAAATAATCGTATCACATTTACATAAATATTTATGATTCAGTGAGTGTGTAACTACTCTGCATTAATGTAATTGTTGCCAAAATAATAATCAAAAAATACACAACATATTCAACAAAGAGTCCTGTGTTACGTGAGTATTTTTTTCACCCCAAGGTGAATATCAAATTATTATATTTTTTTGGAAACCCTCTCATGGTAGTCACCTGAGGATCATTTGATAATCACATGAAAGCAGTCTTACTCGAATATATTTCAGGTATACCCTTTTTAAATACATTTATTAATTTTCGTACCAAGTTAAATAGCCAATCAAAATCTAATTATTTTATTATTGGTAGCAAGAGTTCAGGTAGGGTTCCGCAAAAATATTAGAATACAAAGTGATCCGCGGATCGGATCCAGAAAAACGAGATCCGTACGGATCGGATCCAACTTTTCGGATCGAATCAAATACAAAACAATCGGATCCTACTGATATGATCGGATCAAATTCTAAAATGGATAAATCCGACGGATTCTAAGAGAGGAAAGAGAAAAAGAGGGAAGGGAAAAAGAGGAATTTTTTTTTTTTTTTATAAATATTTGGATCGATCCGAATATGGATTCGGATTTCAAAAGTTGGGTCCGTATATGACGAATCCGGATCAGATATGAATTCCGGATCGGATCCGAATATTGCCAAAATCCGATCAGATCCGACTCCTAAGTTCAGGGTTGGTGCGGTTTATTTGCTTAGATTTTTAGTTTGTGCGGTTTAGGAGTATTGGATCCTGGATTAGCAAGTATTTTAGGCTTGGTAGTTAGTTTGTTATTTTTTATTAGTAAACGTTTTCTTACGTTCGGGTCTGAGGTAAATAAGGTAGATCCTTTTGCAATTTTTAATTCTTACCTTATTTTTTCTTCGGGATGGATTCTTTGGTAAAATCTTTCTTTTTAATATCGTTTACCTGGTTCCCTTCTTTCTTTTTTAATACCTGAATTGATGATAAATTCAAAGTCAAGATTAATATTTGTGATTTCGTAACAAGATTATTATTTTGATTAATATTATTTATTTGATTTCTTTCTTGGATAGAATTTCGAAATAATTAGATAAGATCTTTATTTTTTTAAATAAAATTAATTTACATCAAATATCACAATTTTGCTAATAAACTATTCTCATTATATCAGATATAAAAAGAATTAGTAAAAAATGATGTAATCCTTTATTTTTACTTTAATAATAATTCAATACTTTAAAATGTAATAACACACAACCACAACTAATTATATTAACTGTAGAGAATAATAACTTTGCGTTATAATTATTTGAATAAAGTAAATTATCTCTCTTTTCGAATTAGTAAAAATCTGATTATATATAATTGATAGGTATTCGAATACCAATCAACAAGTATCACGAGACTTTCCTCGAATTTCACCAATAAAGATTAATATTTTCACACCCTATTACGTGTAATAAATTAATGTGAAATTTTATTGACTAAAATTTGGATTGGTCCCGTGCTATTTGTTTATTGGTGAATAGTTATCATTATTATTATAGGAGAGAAATCTATCAAATTTCTTAAATACAATTTAATTATTTTTTTTAAAACTTTTTTATACACTAAACTTTCGCCATACATCCTTTGCTCTTACTAATCTGATTCTAATTACGATGTGTGATCAAATAAATCGTTAATTAAGTCAAAGAATCAATTCAATATAATAGTTAATCAGGTTAGTATTATAAAATAGTTTCAATAGCAATCAAGAAAAAATCTTTCTCGATATTAATTATTTATGACTTTCCAGATAAGTATAATTGTTGATTCTCATCAGGAAATTTTAGTGGGCGAAGATTCCTGGAGATTTTTGAGTGTTTTTTACGTTTTTTCGACTTCGCTCGCGATTTATTTTCGAAGTGTAGAGCGATTTTCTACTAAGGTATTTATAAGATAGAAAGAAAAGCCTTGTCTTTGGTCACAAACTGATATGTGTTTCATTCCGGTAGCGACGATATTCGTGGAGTTATTATGGTTAAAGAAAAACGTCCGTGAAAAAATCGGGCGAAAATTTCCAGAAGATTAGCGCTGATTTTTCAAAGACGTTTTTCTTTACACTACAATAATTCCGCGAATATCAGTGCTACCGGGATGAAAAATATATCATTTTGTAGCCAAGAACTAAGCGTTTGTTTCTATCCTAGAAATATCTTAGTAGAAATTTTCGAGCGAATTCAAACTCAATGCAAAAAATTGATAAAATCTCGGAAATATTCGCATTTGTTTTACATTTTTCGACTTCGATCGTTATTAATGAAGCTTAAAACAAATGAAAGCCTTGTTCTTGGTTGCCACATGTATGTTTTTCATCTGGAAAATCGATATTTGCAGAGTTATTGAAGATGAAAAATCGTGCAAAAATTTGCGAAAATCTTCCGTAAATTTTCGCACTTTTTTTTAAAAAAAATTGCAATAACTCCGCGAATAACATAGCTACTGGGTGAAACATATGTCATTTTGTAGCCAAGAACAAGGCCTTTGTTCCTGTCCTAGAAATACCTTAGTAGAAAATCGCTCTACGTTTAATGAATTGCGAGCGAAGCCGAAAAAACGTAAAAAACACCCAAAAATCGACGGGAATTTTTGCCTATTAAAATTTCCTGATGCCTCAAGAATTGATAATTTACTGATTTGTGTAAGATACAGAAATGGGATTTAGATGATCTGAATATTTATACGGGAATATTGTCTAACGCGGAATATATAAGCCTAAAATTATATAGAAATAATTCATAACCATTTATTAAACTTTTATATAATTGCATCTCCTAACTTTCTAAAATTAAGAAAAGAAGTTTGAATCTAAAAAGTTATGTTAAAAAAGAGGCTTCGAAAATTTTCTCAAGACTTTTCAGAACTACTTAATGAAGAAAAAAAATTGTTATTTTCGTATTTAATACGTCAGTGTTTTGTCAATCAGTGTTTACACGCTCAGCCAAGCTTTCTATTACTGACTTAAATTACATAGACGTTCGAATCAAACACATACCCACATGAAAGGTATTTGTAATAAAGTATCATCCCCGATTTTATCATATGATTTGCTGCAGATCTTAGGCGGATCACCACTTAAACATTACACGTATTTTGCATAAATACAGGCTTTAATAATTTAAATATCTTTAAAATTTTACGAATCGCAACTTATATTTTATATTGTAAACTTCAGATGATCACTATCATTAAATATGTGAACTCGAAAATTTTTCCTTGATTGAGATTTTCGATTCGAATTTTTTTATTTAGTGAATATTTTTACTAAGAAAAGCACGAATTTAGGTAGTTAGGCCACGTTTTGATTTATTATTTATGAAAGCGAATAAAAACATTAGAAAATATTTCTGGAAAGCATGTCATAAGTCAAAGAAATATAAAAAGAGTGGATTTTTTTGATAAAACTTCAAAATGATGACAAAAAGCAAAATTTTCACTTTTTTGGCAGCTTTACTTTTAATCTTCTTGTATTCTCTCACGAATCTCCCTTATCCTTACCCTTACCTCGTGCTGTTGGTGATAAATCTACTGTTACATTACCAAAACTCGATGGCTTAGTCATAATCACTCAAGTTGACGCAGGAAATATAAAGGCATCGACCATAATGAACCTCCTAACTACTATATTCAAATGGGAACTGCAGCTGCACCCTTCTCTCTATTGGGAATTAACATAACACTACCTAGTGCTGGTCCCTGGGAAGTGGCTATTCCTGGAGATGTCACCCAGATATTTGTTTTAACTTTTTCTGTTCTTTACAAGGTTGATTTTCTTGATTCTGCACCAATCACCAAAGTCTAAATGTTTAACTTTTTGAAAAAAATTTTATTAATTTTTTAAATTTTTTATTTTCTCGAAGATTGATTCAGAAATATGCTCATTTATTTTAATTTTATTTTTATCAATCCTTTGTATATTCTGTCATTAATTTTAATCATAAATAATTGATTATTTTATTTTTCTTAATAAAGTTTTTGCCTAAATTCAGGTTTTAGTATTTTAAAGTTTTTGCATATTAAATATCTTGCGAATTGCGAATAGCAATTTATATTTTATATATCACGATAATTATAACGATGATTAAATTACACAAGTCTGGTTACTAAAATAAATTAATCTCTTTCTCTATGTGAAATAAATTTTTAATTTTATTATTTACTAATAAAGAATAGCGCTGAGTATGCCGACAATTCCAGTCAATTATTGAGGCATGTACAGTCGCGTCGGAAAGCAACGCCCGATTTTTTATTTAAGTAAAAATTTCGATATGTACATGATTTATTCTATTTCTATATTATGTACATAAAATTTTCTTTTATAATTAACTAATACTTAGTTGGCTCTCTCTTTACATCAATGCTGCTTCAATTCTTCGTGGCATTGAGTCCACATCCTTCCTAAGAATTGATCATCAAATTTTGACCATCCTCGTCTTGATCTATAGATTTGGAAAAAAATTTTTTTCTAGATTTTATTCTTTAACAATTTTCAGATGTTTTCTATGGTAATAAGGTCGAGAGAATTTTCTGGTCAGTCTCACGTTTTAATTTTTTTGGTCTCGACTCATTTTACGATCTTTTTTGCAGTACGGAATGGACAATTATCTTTTGAAACACCAGTTTTGAATGTCATTTTTAGCCGTACAAATCATCACATTGCATTCATACGGTCAAAAAAAATAGACGGGTGAGAAAAAAAACTAAAAGAAAAAAGGGGAATTATTTGTGAAAATATTGCATATTATTACATCAGAAAATCGGGCGTTACTTTGCGACGTAACTGTGCAATTGAGATTGAATAAAAGTATCCACACTACTATCACGTTATTTAATATTTTTTAATCTTCTGCAATAAGCCTGATAGACGTATTTGAACTAAATATTTAGATGATGATTGTAGTCTGTAGTCAATATACCAGATTGAAGAAAATTTCGGTTAAAGTTTTAAAATAAATTGCTAAAATTAAGATTTAATAAAGATTTTTATTAAGAAAAGCTCAAATTTAGGTAGATTGACCGAAAACAACACGAGAATTTAGACTTTTTGTTATTTACGAAGCGAATAAATAGGAAGCATTTCTGGAAAGAGTGTCATACGTCAAAAAAATGTAAAAAGAGTGGATTTTTGTTTCTCTGGAGAAATCAAAATCAATTATTCAAAAATAATTCAAAATGATAACAAAAAGTAAAATTTTCACTTTTTTGGCAGCTTTATTTTTAATCTGTCTTGTATTCTCTCCCGCATCTGGTGATTTCGCTAGTGTCAAATTAGCCATACTCGACGGAAAAATTACATTAACTCAAACCGAAGACGGTAATGTAAAAGTTGAGGGCAGAATCGTAAAAAATGCACCTAATGACTACTTTTCTCCAATTGCAATGCAAAGCGTACCCTTCCTCGATTTGGAATTAAAAAAATAGAAGTACCTGGTACGGCTTTCTAGAAAATGGTTAGTCCTGGAGAAGTTAACCAGCTAATTGGTTTAGATTTATTGATTCTTCACAAGATTGAAGTTCTTGATTCTGGAACAATCATGATACCAACTTAAATTTTTTATCTTCTTGAAAATGATTAGATTAATTTAGAAATATGCTCATTTAATTTTATTTCAATTTTTTTATTAATCTATTGTTTAGTCTCTCATTAATTTTATGATATAATTATTTTTTACTATAACGAATATTTTTATTTATTTTATTAATTTATAAATTTATAATTCAATTTATTATTTATTTACTATCGCATAAAAATAAAATCTGACTGAAGAAATTCTTTGTTATGCTGAAAAAAAATTCTTTATAACAAAAAATTCGTTATATCGAGATACTTTAAGAAATTCGTTACATCTATTATGAATTCGCTATATTAAGAAATTCATTATATATCAAATTAATGAACTAACCCATAAAAGATAATAATGAAGATCTTTATTAAAGAATTTAGGTAAATTTGACCAAATTAGGTTTATTCAATTAATAAAACTTCAAAAAAGTAAAACTTTTGTCATCCCCATTTTTGTGTTCTCTAGAGGTGCAGACTTATAGTGAGGTCAACAAAGAAGAATACAATATCATTGTCGAAATTGATCAAGAACAGAACTGACTATCTTACGTTATCGTTCATCTTATTTTAATAAAGAATTAACAATCTGTTCCAATGGTGCTAATAATAATATTAAAAAATCATTAAATCCAATTTTTCTGCTCAAAAGTTTGAAATTATTCTCAAGTAAGGCTTTTATAATTTGTTTTTAATTCAATTATTCAGCTCAAATAATATACTATGTTATAATATGAAATATGAAATTAAAATAATCATAATTGACAATTTGAACAATTTTATAATTTTATATAGATACAAAAAACCGTGACTATATAGAGATGTGACAATTATAGAGTCTTTTTTACATAGCATTAATAGGCGTTGGTTTTACGACTACATTGTTTTTGTGACTATATAGGATGTAGTCTGACCGTATATCTATGGCGGAAGTATTTTACGTAGGATTTGATGATTGTTGTTTTAACGAGCTGGAGTTTGAAGAATTATCCGAAAAATTAAAAAATCATCTTATTGAATTCAAGGCTTCTTGGTTAAAAATTCATTTCACCTTTGCTTGTTATTCAATTTTAAACATAACAAATTTTAATAGGCAAAATTTCCGGTGTTTTTTTACTTTTATTCGACTTCGCTCGCGATTTATGAAATGTAGAGCGATTTTCTACTAAGATATTCTAAAATAGAAAGAAAAGTCTTGTTCTTAGTTACAAACAGATATGTGTTTCATTTCAGTAGCAGCGATATTTGTGGAGTTATTATGGTTAAAGAAAAACGTCCATGAAAAAAATCGCGCAAAATTTCCGGAAGATTTGCCATGATTTTTCACGGACGTTTTTGTTTAAACCACAATATCTCCCCTACCGGGATGAAATACATACTTTTTTGTAGCCAAGAACTAGCCTTTCTTTCTATCTTAGAAACGTCTTGGTAGAAAATCGCTTTATGCTTCTTCTTAAATCATGAGTGAAGTCGAAAAAGCGTAAAAAACTGGTGAAAATCTCCGGAAATTTTTGCGTTATTTTACGTTTCTTCGACTTCGTTAGATTATTTAATAATTTATTTTAAATACAAAAAGAAAATTTTTGTTCTTATTCCAGTAACATCGAGTTATTATGGTTTAAATAAAAATGTCCGTGAAAACATGCGAAAATTTTCGCACGATTTTTTTCACGGACGTTTTTTTTTTAAACTGCAATAACTCCGTAAATATAACAGCTGCCAGGATGAAACACATATATTTTGTAGCAATGAACAAGGCCTTTCTTTCTATCTTTCTATCTTAGAAATGCCTTAGTAGAAAATCGTTCTACTTTCACAAATGCTTTCGCCTATCAATCTCAAAGTTTGTCTTTCACAACTACTTTTTTAAATATGCTCTATCTGTCAGTAGGTCAAGCAATCAGTCGATCTAAACTTGCCTATCTCGAAACAGATAATAAATATAATATAATTCTCTTTAACTCTTTATTTTTAATCTGAAGGCTCAGTGAGTAAGGTGAAGTAAAAGTGTTAACACAGTATCGAGTAATATTTAACAATATTTCGCAATATCGCGATACAAAAGATAAGTTTATTAAAATATAAAGGGTACAATTTTAAAAGTAAAGTATCATTTAATGACAGAAATATTACGATGGGTAGCGTGTCTATTTTACCGTCCCTAAAGGAAGTTTACTTTTTTATCTAATAATATTAATGTTCGAAACTATGCGTAATTATTAATTAACTGAAGTTAAAGGTAATACTATGACTCTTAAGACTCTAAGAGAGATTACTACTTCTTTTATACCTTTTCACCTTCATTCAATTTTTATCCGTCATCCTTCGTACTTCATCCTTCATTCTTACACGATATCTTTTGGATGACATCACCGGTTATTATCCCAGGTGATTGTACAATTATCTTTGTATCACCATTTATCATCCCCCGTATGATTACCAATTTACTTCGCCACACTACGTTTCGTGAATCGCGAGCGGAGTCGAAAAATACGTAAAAAAACAACAAAAATCTCCAGAAATTTTCGCCTATCAAAATTTCCTGATGATATTATTGTAAAACATCCAAGTATTATTTTTGATTTATTTCTCTTCATAAATCTGCTTTAGTGTCAATTTTAATACTTGGATTATGTAATTTAGTGGGGAACCGCACAGAATACTACTTTACCCGAGAAGATGGACTCATTAATATAATTGGTCCACTAAAGTTAAGGGAACAGACGAAATCATTGGTGGATTAATCCTTTAGCTTGGGATTAAATGAAAATATAAAAGTCTTATTTTACATGATCAATTTATTTTTTAAGTTAAAATGAAAATGACGCTTTATGGTATCCTCTTTGTATGGTTCAATATTTAGAGATTGCGAATTCATTGTGGCATCAAATGTATCCAATTTTATTTAAGATAAGCGAAGTTGTGTCGTATTTATAATTGTTATGAAAAATCGATTAGAACAAATAATGATAATTTTTCATTATAGATCATGAATTATTTAAAGTTTTTAAAAAAATCTTTCTGTAATTGAAGTTAACAATTATTTTCTTCTTAGTTTATATGTTATCCAAATTAATGAATGATTACATTTGATACAGAATTTTGTCTGATAAAGCAGTAGCTCATAAATAAGTTTCATTTATTCTATATCAGATATCAATTTTAATCCAATCCGATATTGTTTATATTAATTTTATGTTAAATTATATTTATTTTTACATCCGTATTTCGAAAAGTGCAGTTTTCCCATGTAACTTTAATTTAACATTAATTTGAAATCAACATCAAGTTTGTAAGATCATTACACGAATTAATTTACTAATTTAGTCAGAGAAATAAAAATTAGAAAAAAGAAGCAAAAAATTATTTTGGATACAACAAATTAAAAAAAAATTCTTGTTTTGATCTGATTTAATTGTCAATTATATTATTATTTTGTATTAAAACTCTTCAACATCTATATTTATATTTTGGTTATTTTAATTTGCAATTCATTAAATAAATTTATTTTTTAATGAATTTATTTCATATAGTATTGTAATTAAAAATAAATAATTAATTAATAATTAAATTTTCCTTTTTCATTTACTACGACATATACCTTCATGAGTAGTGATAAAGATTTTGCAAAATAAATAAACAAATTTAGAGAATACAATAATGAATAATAAAATACATTAAATAAATTTATTCTTTGATTAATTTGAAATTCTATACAGTTTTTTTCATTTACATGTCCAACTTTATAATTAATAATTACTATTTTTACAATTTTTTATAAATTTTCTTAGACAAAATTCTAAATTTAAATAATTTTCAGAAATATCAAAAAAATAAAAACTTATCGAATCTTCAATAAAAATTTTGAAACTAGTCTTTAATAATCGACTTGTTAAAATATATTAAGTAACGCAAAATAAATATTCACGTACTTCCTGAACAAACAATGTATAATATTAAGATTGAGGCAAAAAAAAAGCATTTGTTAAATTCCTATGCTATAATTTTGTTGTATTCTATTATAGGTCTGTAAAGTTAAGAATTCAGGGTTTGAGTATTAACTTGAATTTTTAGTTGCATTGTATATTTTAAAATTTAGAAATACTAAATATTTATATGCATTTAATAATAATTGATTTAATCTCGAAAATCATAATTTCACAAACTCTCTTGCATAATAAAAGCTATATGTCAAAAAATTTGCAATTCATATTCTTTTTGAACAAGATTAGGAAAGGTTAATTTCTTTTGAAATCAGCAAACAGAAATCAAAATAAAAAGCTAGAAGAATGTAAGTCAAAATGAACAAGTTCACATCTAAAGAAGTCATATAAGAATTTAAAGAATAAAGTGACATAATTAAATTTTTATTTTTGTAATTATTAAATAATAGAAACGAAAACGAAAGACTTTCTTCAAAAGAAAGTAGTTCTTCATAGTAATTTATATCATATTGAAGTTGCCAAATTCAAAAAGGCTCACAATATAAGTTTGTATAATAATAAACATATTGTTTAATTTATTTAATAAATTATACTTTAAGTTAAATTGTTTGGAGAAGAATATTGAGAATTGGAGTTTAAATAAACTTTAATTAAAACAATGATCAAATAATAAGCACAAATCTAAAATAATTAATGTTAAATTTGATGAGCAAAAAAAAAACAAGATCAATTTTTATATCTTAATTTTCTGAAAATATTATTTATTAAAAAAAATCAATGGGCGATATAGTTATGACCGTTAATTTTTGACCCAAAAATTAAATTTTTTTTTAAAAAAAACTTTGGAATTGAATTTATTTTTCAAAGTATTTTATTATGATTTTATAATTCCGACTTCTAATTAATAATTTTACTAAGCGAATAATTATTTTATATAAAGTCTCAAACTTTATCAATATACATATACTCTTAAATATATGTATATTAACATATTCTTATAAAAAAATATTCTAAAAATATAGAATATTTTTTATGTTAATTTTAAATAAATTTCTTTTTTTTTGGTTTTTAAGGAAATAATTTTACGGAATATTTATATGCATTAACAATAATTGATTTATCAAATTGTAAAATATACAATGACTAACTAAAAATTCAAGTTAATAATAAATATCCTGACCCGAATTCTTAACTATTCTATTAAATTATGTTGAATCAAAATAAAATATAAAAGTAACTAAGTTACGAAGTAATGAACTATGAAGCATCAAAACAAAAATCATGTTTAAATCATTAAAATAATTATTAATAATTTAAAGATAAAATGACATCCATTGTTTTTTTAATAATTAAATTTAGCATTAAATTAGTTTAATTTTAAAATTAATTAATTAATTTAATTTTAATAATAAAATCAATGGTATTTTAAAAAATTTAAAAAATTTAATAAATTCATATAAAACTATTTTATTTAACTTTAATAAATTTTTTTTATTAATATCCAAAAATATTATCTTTAGTACATAGTATTCAATAATCTTATATTCAACGTAACAAAAATAATAAATAATTTAATGACACACATAACTCAACATGTAAATATTGTAACTAAATATATTTCTTATTTGGTATATTTTTTATTAATTTTCGAAGTATTATTTGGATTATTATTTTATATCAAATTGAATCCCATATTCTTCAATAACTTTAAAATGTTCATCGCTTAATGCAAATAATTTTTTTCGCGAAACTCTTGTACGTTTTACAATAATCTTTTTATTTCCTCCTCCTCCTTTACAACACCATCCTTCAAAAAATTTTCTTAAACTATCAGCATTAAATATTCCCATTCTAATTTCGATAGTTTCAAGTGATTTTGGTACACTTTCGGCCATCTGACATAATAATTCATTAGCATCTAATCCATTATAATCAAATGAAAATCTCCTTAATTCATTAAAATTATTATTAAATATTGCTATTACTTGTTCAAGACTTAAATCTAGTAAAGTTAATTCGGTAATCTTCGTACAATAACTTAAAATTGCTGAAAATATATCATTTGAAATTATGCGATATAATTCTAGACAAATATTTTTTAAATTTGTATTGGCTGTTTCGAAAATTTTTATAATAAATTCTTGGGGATACATATAATAAAGATACCTCAAATGCAAACTACTTAATTGAGTAAGTGATGAAGCGAAAAATAAATAATCCGAGTTATACAATCCATAACAATTTTCAATATAAAGTTCTTTAAGTGAAGTAAATTGTCCAATTGGTGATGATTTCCCCTCTAAATTATAAAAACTTACTGAATTTAAACGAAGACTCTTTAATGTTTCTTTTTGACTGATGATAACCCATAATAATGAATTACAATTTGTATATCCATTATCAAGAATTGATAGATTTTTATAACCATTGTCAATAATCGATAGATTTTCTAACCGTTTTTGGACACTAATAAATTTCTCCAATAATTGCAACTGAGAATCTGAATTAAATTCCAAATCCATATTTAAAATATTATCACAAATTAATGTTAATGATTTATATAATGGTCCAATTATTTCATCCTTTATTGTCGCCGAAACAAATGTTTCTAATCTCTTAAATACTTTCGGGGCACCAGGCAACTCGAGAATTGAACCAATTAAATCGTTATAATTACAATTGTTTCCAGAAAAATTTTCGTGAACTTCTCCTAATTTAAAAGAATCCAAAAATGTGCAACGATTTATCAATAATTTACATATCTCACGAAATAATATTCTCGATTCAGCGGTGATGCTAATATCGTTATCATCGTGATTAGAACCAATGATTTCTTGTGAATATATGGAAATAAAATAAGCTAAATTATCAATTCTAAATTTATGAGTGAATGATGGATAATCAAAAGTAGCTTGAGGTGGCGATGAGGATAAATCAAATCCGCATTGAATAAGTAAAGCTCTAGATTGAGAATCCATACATGATATATAAGTTCGAATACATAATGCTTTTTTCCTCAACTCCTTATGATTCATATAACCTTCTTGAACCAAAATTAATTTCCAAAGTATAGGTATAGTTACTTTACACCAGATTCGACTGACGAATAACGATGAATATAAATCTTGAGTTAATTGAACATAATTTAAAATCATAATCAATAATTCTGCGGAAATTTTAATTGCCATTTTTTTTTTTTTGCTTAGAAAAAAAAAGAAAAAATTATTTAAAAAAAATCGTATCATATCATTTACATAAATATTTATTATTCAGTGTGTAACTACTCATGCAATAATTATTTATCAAAAATACGCAACATGTGATAACCGAAATCGGTAAAAATTTTATAAATTAACATATAAATAATGCCATATGTATATATACAATAATGCGTTTACGTTTATTATATTTCCTTATAATGACTTATAATGATTAGCAAATGACCTGGTTATAGCATGACCTTTGTCACCTGGTCATTAAATCAAAATAGTCAATTGAAAATTAATTGGTCAGATTTTGTGACATTTGATCCGCCAATTTTCATGTGACTAAAGATCTACTTTTTTCCTATAATAGAAAATATATTTTTTAATTGGCTAATTTGTATGACCAATAACCTATAGAGGTCATTTGCTAGCACCTATGATTAGGGGTTGCATATCAATAAATAAATAAAAATGATGCGCCGAAGGACTTTTTTATCGTAGAATAGATTTTGGAACCAACGTTTTGTCCGTTTCTGGAAAGTCACGATGTGTCGCAAATGTAATAAATGCAACGTGAGTGGTGAATGCTACGAAAAAGTCTTTGAAAAGGATATTTTAAAACATTTGCCACTATTCTCTTTTTTTGGTAAGAAAATCTTACCAAAACAATCAAAAATATACCTGAGTTTTTATTTCTTCTATCTATTATTCGTGTACGATTACTATATCTATTCGTTACTCGCTACTCGATTACAATTACGATTACGATTACGATTACAACTATACGAATAACGTCCCACCCACCCTCCTCAGATTAACAATTCTTTAAATACAAAAAAAAAATATGCAATACAAACATTATTTACTTGTGAAGTACTTGAAATACTATGCCGTATGTAAGGGCTAAGCCTCACCTGTTAAACTAGCATTCTGTTATGAAAAAAAAAGCTGTAACGGCTAATAAAAAATAAATAAAAAATGATTAAGAGGGGTGTGCCAGAAATCAGCTAAATCTGCTGATTTAAAAGGGAGATGGAATCAGTATATATGTATCAAGGTTATATATGTATGTTGTATTATGCAAAATGAATATTACATAAAAAAAATTCTATTTTTTGAATTCGCCCATGATTTATGTGACAGGCAGTGATTTTCTACTAAGATATTTTTATGACAGATCGAAAGCCCTAGCTTTTGGCTACAAGATAATATGTATTTCATTTTCTGTAGCATTAAAATTTGCGGAGATATTCGTGTTTAAATTCGAACGTCCGTGAAAAATTTCGCTCAAATTTTCCGGAATTTTTCATAATTCTGGCCAGAATTACAGAAAATTTATGGCAGAAATTTTTCACGGACGTTCGATTTTAAACGCGAATAATTCCGCAAATATCAATGCTACCGAGATGAAACACATATAATTTTGTAGCAAAGAACAAGGTCTTTCTTTCTACATTAGAAATATGTTAATCGAAAATCGTCGAAAAAACGTAAAAAATGTGAAAATCTTCAGAAATTTTCATTTTTTTTTACGCTTTTTCGATTTTGCTCACGATTTTTGATTAAAAATATTTCTAATATAGAAAGAAAGGCCTTGTTCTTGCTACAAAATTATATGTGTTTCATCTCGGTAGCATTGATATTCGCGGAGTTATTCGCGTTTAAAATCGAACGTCCGTTAAAAATTTCTGCCATAAATTTTCGCCAATTCTGGCCAGAATTATGAAAAATTCTGGAAAATTTGAGCGAAATTTTTCACGGATGTTCGAATATCTCCGCAAATTTTAATGCTACAGAAATGAAATACATATTATATTGTAGCCAAAAGCTAGGGCTTTCGATCTGTCATAAAAATATCTTAGTAGAAAATCGCTACCTGTCGCGTAAATCGTGGGCGAATTCAAAAAATAGAATTTTTTTTGCGTAATCTTCAGGTCACGTATTTTGCGTAATACAACATACATATATAACCCTTATACATATAAACTGACCCCATCTCCCTTTTAAATCAGCAGATTTAGCTGATTTCTGGGCACGCCCCTTTTAATCATTTTTTATTTATTTTTTTATTAGCCGTTACGGCTTTTTTTTTTTCACAACGGAATTCTAGTTTAACAGGTGAGGCTTAACCCTTACATACGGCATAGTATTTCAAGTACTTCACAAGTAAATAATGTTTGTATTACATATTTTTTGTATTTAAAGAACTGCTAATCTGAGGAGGGGTAGGCGGGACGTTATTCGTATAATCGTAAGTAGCGAATAGATATAGTAATCGTACACAAATAATAGATAGAAGAAATAAAAACCCAGGTATGTTTTTGATCGTTTTTGGTAAGATTTTCTTACCAAAAAAAGAATAGTGGCAAATGTTTTAAAATATCCTTTTCAAGGACTTTTTCGTACTCACGTTGCATTTATTACATCGTGACTTTCCAGAAACGGACAAAACGTTAGTTCCAAAATCTATTCTACAATAATAAACAAACTTGCTAATAATATTTTATTTATCTAAAAATTCCCATTTTTCTAAAATCTAAACTCTATAAAAAATTCAATTTTCTAACTTTCTGCGAACTACTATATAGCCTTGTTTAAATATTGTCAAATTAATAGTATAACGAGTAATTATAATATTTGTACACAGATTATCCCAAATTTTTTTATATCCTATAAACCTAAAATGCATTTTTTTACATTCTTATCTCTCTTTTTATAATAATTCGAAATTCAATATACAGTAATTTATAAATATATATATATGTATGTATATGTATATATAAGTCAACTTATAATACGTCAACTAAAAATGTGTCAACTAAGATGTCAATTAAAATACGTCAACTCCTCCCATAATTGACATTCTTGAAACTCTTTCTTCGATTGATGCAATATCTATTCCATCATCTTCTACCGCATCACTATGTTCATTTCGCGGTAAATAGTCATAAAACCATCGTCCTAATAAACCTAATACCTTTTCTTTAATTTTATCACCTTCCCCGGCATTATTCCATGTCTCAATTAATGCCTCAACAACACCCGATGATGCAAGTCTTACAGAATATTCATTATGTGATTCTGGTAACGTATCAGTCCCCGGTACATCGCCAACGGAAAGAATATTAACTAATGTGTCAAGAATTTTGTTCAATATTTCACAAGGCGTTGATGGATTTCGTAGATGATGTATTAGTGATGAAATAATGTTATGCTGAAGAATTATGCTAAATTGAGAAATAAAGTACATTTGATTGGTAAATTTCAATTGAGAATTAAGAAGAATTAATAATTTTAATTGAACAGATACTAAACTGAATATGACCAGGATCATGTAGGCTTGTGGAATTACTGAGCACCCAACATGCTTCTTTAACAACTTTCATATCGTTATCCCAAAGCAATGCGACTACACTTTCCAATAGTTTTGGTTCTGTGAGCACTGCTTCAACCTTAAGATTGAACCAAAAATTAATTAACACAATTGCATAAATAATAATTTATCATCACATTATAAATACCTGTTTATATGTACCGGCCGCCACATTTGATACAGCTAAACAAGCATCTCTCCTTAACGTCAAATTTTTTATTGTTAAAAATGATGATGTTAGGACAGTCAAAGCCCCAGCATCTATAACTGCTTGCGTTTGTTTCTCTAAATTTTTATATAATAATTAACTTCAAAATTAAGATTTTTTATACATAGAAAGATATATGTTAGAGTAAAAATTAATTAAAATGAATACGGACCTGCTCCTGATGCGATATTCACCAATGTACGTAGCACCGGTAAATGCACCGTAGAAGAAAGACTTTCTTCACTGTTATTTAAGTAAGTTTGGGTCATAAATTTTACTACATAAAATACGATACAAATGATTAATTTACCATAAAAGTTGCACTAATCGACGACACAAACTACTGTCGCTAACTAAAGCATGTTCTCTATGCTTATGTGTTCCGTTCAAAATTCTAGACATGCCCCAACTGTGGTGAAGAAAAGTATAAAAAATGAAAGATGAATAAATTATTAATATTAGATATTTTATTTATTGAAAGCGAACATTCTATTATAATGCATTAAAAGTCACCATGCATCAGCTATAATTTCCGGGTCGTTTAATTGCACCATATTTCCAAGAATCGGAAAGGCCGGTGTTATCTAATCAAACAATATGCAAATCAATGTTAAAGCAAAGATATAATAAATAAAGAGAAAATGGCACATTAAATAATTTACAAACGGTTTACCAATGACCATGAAGGATCCGAACAACGACATCCACGACACATATTTGCAGTTGCCCAAACTGTTATTCTGACAGCCATATAATCATACCTATCATAATGTGTAAGAATGTAGAGCAAAGGATCCAGCACGCCGGCGGATAAAATAATATCTCTGAACACAGCGCCATCTCCTGCAATATTCCCTAATGCCCATATGATCTTTATATATAATTATTGACGGATTAATACGAATTAATAGATACCACAATTAAATATATACATATATTTTTAAATCCTTACCTGCGTCTGAACTTCGATATTGGTCGAAGTAGTCAACACCTTAATAAGATGTTGCGTTACACCACCAGCGACTAATACCTGTGTGTGCTGGGTAGAACCAGCCTAGAAGACAATAATGATGATAATGATATTGAATTATTAAAATTATTAAAGAAATTAACCATTTACAGAGAAATCAAAAATTAAATTATTATTATTATGAAGCTTACGGCAATATTTGTAATTATCCAAGCTGTTTCATACTGAATTATAATAAAAATGGAATTATGGAAATTGATTTAAATCAACTACACAAATAGGTTTATAAATAGCTTGTGGCCTACTTGTAATAAATTATCATTGTAAGTCTCTAGAAATTCGATCAATAAAGGTATTATGTTCAGTTCTAAGACATTATCAACTCTTTCATCAACGTTTTCTATAGATGAGAATGTTAATAATATGATCAAAATTTAAAAAAAAATAACAATTTTCTAAAGAAGCCGATACACACGTAAGGATAAATATTTTCTTAATCTTACAACTGCAGCGAGACGTAATTGTCGCACTGGTGAATGGAGGGCATTGTATATAGCATGTGCGTATTGTGGTAACTAAAGTATTAAAAAAAAAATAACATAATTAGTCAATTAGAGAAAACTAATGTAGAATTTGTACTAGAAATTAATATTCCGTTTAAAACTAACAAGCATCGAAACTTCACAAATTGGCAAGCCATCGTCATTTTTACCCAGTACTTCTGCAGCATCGGAAGCCACTGAAAGATTTGCTAATTTGCGGTTTAAAAATTCAATAATGTCCGAATCTTCTTCAGCCGTGCTCTTTTCGGTGTGCAATGTCATTTGTATTTGTTTCAGTATTATAATTTATAAAACAAAAGAATCTATAATCGCAGATGTATAATACAACTTCAAAATTGCTAAAAAAAAAAAAAAAAAAAAAAGGGAAGAAAAAGGTAGTGCGAAAAAAAAAAAGCAACGATGTTTTTTTGTTTTTATGAAGTAATTATTTATGATAGTGGCTTAAACAAATCAGGGTTCCTTATGATATAAGATCGTATACTTCTAAAATCACGTGAAAATTTTAGCCCCTAAATAGAAATTTTAACCGATATATATGATACTAGAATTATTTTATTTAGTAAGTATTTTAAAAGTTATACGTATTTAACAAATTGGAAATATATCTGATATACATAAATAGTAAAAATATCACTTTTTATTATATATTTTAACAAGTTTAAAAAATTATCTTATTGACTAAAAATCACAAAAATTTAAGTTTATATATTTTGTTTATCTTATTTTCTCAGATTTTAATAATAACTTTGAATATTTCCTATTATCATATCTTTTATTAATTCAACTATATTAAATCCATAAATAAGACCTTTATCTTAAACCCCAGTTCAGGGTTTTATTTTAGATTTTAAGATATTTGAATTTTATCAAAATAAATGATCATAAATATTACACATATGTACTATGTTTGAGTAAAAGGGATATTAGATAACAAATATGATTTCTGCATGTAAAAAAATTCCAAGTTCTCAGAATATTTAATAAAAATAAACATATAATATCTTTTTTTTATTGATCTATCTATATATATTACTTATCTAATTATAATAATTCAAGTATTATTGACTTTTTCATTTATCCAAAATGTTTGATATTTCTTAATTATCTTGGTTCAATTATTTAATATCAGATTAGTTTTTCAACTGTATATTATCAGTGATATTATTTAAATGACACATACTTTCACAAGGCAAACATAAAAGAATAGGTGTACTGAAAAGGAATTCTGATTTTAGCTAATTTATAACTAGTCTATAATATATATCAGAAATTTTTTAGGAACAAATATATTTGAACTGTAATATATTCAGATATATTTGATTATTCACACATTTATCTATATTAAATATTCATATATATTTACATAATATATAAATTTATTTGAATAAATATGTAAATACATATATTCATATATAGTATTAGGAATTAAATAAAAAAAATTTGCAACACTATATAAATACCATTCTATATTAGAAATTAAATAAAATATTCTACAATACTATATGAATACTGTTCTATAACATTATTTGAATGGTATTAACATACTAGAACACAATGTTCTAGTATGTTATTTAAACATTTCATATTAATAACATACTAAATACACTGCTTTAGTATGTTATTTAAACATTTTATATTTATAACATACTAAACATAACATTCTAATACATTATTTAAACTATAATTGTATGTAAAATTATTTTGAAATCCTGAAATTACAATTTTGGAAAAAAAAGTCAAAATAGTTTTCATAAAAGATAAAATTATTTTACTTAAAATCCAAAATTTTTTAACTACCTAGATAAATTTCTTTATTAAAGATACACTTAACTAAATATTTTTTTATTTCTATATATAGAATAGATTCTAAGTAAATCTCAAAAAATAAAATATTTCAAAAAATCAGAAATCAATTTTAGAAACATGTATAATTTAAACATTTTGTATTTATAGTATATTAAAATTGATATTTTTAGTACATTATTTTAATATTTTATATTTATAGCATAATAGAATATTTCTATAAAATTCCTAATACTATAGTATTATTTGAACAATACTAATATACTAGAATACAGTGTATTATAACATACTAGAATACAATATTCTAGTGTATTATTTGAACTATATTTGTATGCAAAATTATTTTAAAGTTTCAAAATTACAATTTCAAAGAAAAAAGTTAAAATAGTCTTTTATAGAAGATGAAATTATTTACTTAAAATCAAAAATTTTTTGATCACCCAGATAAATTCATTAATTAAAGATATACTTAACTAGATATTTTTTTATTTCTATATACATAATAGATTCTGAGTAAATCTCAGAAAGATAAAATACTTCAAAAATCAGAAATTAATTTTGAAAACATGTACAGTGGCTTACAAAAGTACTGCAACACCTGTTTTTTTGTCTTTAGAAAATTATACAGCCTGAACAATCAATTTTAGAATAATAGTTACTAAGCTTATTTTAAACCTTGAGTTTTGAAAATATTTTTTTTTAAATATTTTTAATATCAAATTAATAATTCTAATTTTACGTAAACAGGTGATTTATATGATAAATTGTTATTAAATAAAATTTCAATTGTGAATAAAATTTCTTGCAGAATGGTTATAGCCAAGATAATTATAGGGTTAATAGTCCTTTCTGAGAAAAACTGATATATCAGATTTCATAACAATTGAATCAGTGATTACTGAAAAATTAATTCTTGAAAATTAAAATTTTACTAATAAAATAATTAAAAAAAAATTTTTATTTGTAAGATTTCAGATTTTGTAACAATTGAATTAGTGGTTACTGAGAAATTAACTCTTGAAAATTGAAATTTTACTAATAAAATAATTAAAAAAATTTTTTTATTAATAAGATTTCAATTTTCAAAAGTTAATTTCTTGATAATCACTGATTCAATTATTATAAAATCTGATATGTCAGTTTTCCTCAAAAAGAACTATTAACCTTATAATCATCTTGGCTGAAATATTCAAGATGAAATTTTAGTAACAATTCATCATATAGATCACCTATTTATACAAAATTTGAAATTATTAATTTGATATCAAAAATATTTAAAAAAAATATCTTCAAAACTCAAAGATTAAAATATGCATAATAACTATTATTCTAAAATTGATCATTCAGACTGTATAATTTTTTAAAGACAAAAAAACAGGTATTGCAGTACTTTTGTATAATTTGAACTATACTTACATATAAAATTATTTTGAAGTCTCAAAATTACAATTTTAAGAAAAAAAGTTGAAATAGTTTTTCATAAAAGACAAAATTATTTTATTTAAAATTCAAAATTTTTTGACCATCCAGATTTATTTTTTAATTGAATATATACATAACTGAATACTTTTTTTACTTCCATATATAGAATAAATTCTATATAAATCTCAAAAAGTTGAAATATTTCAAAAATCCAAAATCAATTTGGAAACATGTATAATTTAAACTATACATATTTTCAAAATTGATTTCTGATTTTTGAAATTTTATATATAAAAGTAAAAAAAATATCTAATTAAGTGTATCTTTAATCAAAGAATTTATCTAAGTAGTTAAAAAATTTTAAAATTTTAAATAAAATAATTTTGTCTTCTATAAAAAACTATTTTAATTTTTTTTTTTTAAAATTGTAATTTCAGAATTTCAAAATAATTTAATATGTAAGTATAATTTAAACATTTTGTATTTATAGCATACTAGAATACAAGATTCTAATGTGTTATTTGAATATTTCATATTTATAATATATTAAAATACAATATTCTAATGTATTATTTGAATATTTCATATTTATAGTATACTAAAATGCAACATTCTAATATAATATTTAAATATTTCATACTTATAGTATACTAGAATATCTCTATATAATTTCTGATATTATTTATATAATTTGAATTTATTCAAATATATTTTTTGAATATATTCACATATATCCAATATATCCATTATAAGTTAAATACAAAAAATATATCGTATTGAAAGGAATTTTAATTTTGTTGATTTATAATATAGTATATAATAGGATAGTTAATTATTACCAATTTTTAATTAATCTATAATATACTTTATAATAAAATTAATTTTCAATTGTTAAAATATTATGTCTTAATGTCTTAATTTTATTGTACAGTCAAAATTAATATAATAGTTAAATAATTACATTAGTTATAATTAATTACATAATTCTTTTTTTTTTATAAATTGATATAATTTATTAAAGGACTTTACATATTTAAGATTTTTTGTAAATTTTCTATTAATTTTTTTATTAAACTTTTTAATTTTTTTTTGGTATTGTATGATTAGCTACTTTTATTATTATATTTTTAAGAGTTTTTTAATTTTTATTTAAAGAATTAATTGTTGTTCCATATTTTATTCATTTTTCATCATATATTAATTTATATTATATTTAGAACCAATACTAATCTGTAACTTTGGATCAGATTATATATACTAATTTTTCTTAATCTTGAGTTATATTAATTTATGATCATTATTTGTTATCAAATTATGTTTTTTTGTAAAATATTTTATAATTTTTTTTTCATTTTTGTAATATCCATATTGTATCAATTTGATTTTGTTCATGTAAATTATCCTTTTGTTATTTAATTTAAAATATATAATACTATAATATCAGAAAATTTTTAAAGACAAATATATATGAATTTATTTGTAATTAATAAAAACAAATTATATCTGAATATATTTATAAATTTATTTAAATATATTTAATATAATATATAAATTAATATAAATTAATATAAATTATTAGGCTCTGGTCTGCATAGTCTAAGTGGCTAGTGCGCCAGAATCTTGTCATAAGGTTAACGGATCGATTCTAGCTGTATGCATGGACAATAATCTTTCTGTAATCCAAGACTCGATTGGGTATCAACCGGTATCCTTGCCTAAATGAGTGTGACAGCCTAATTATGGGTGTTGTCT